ACCAGATCAAAGCAACCTCCCAGGTCAACCCTTTTAGCTTTCCATGAAGACCTAACTCTTCCCGTAAGCAGTGGGCTAGGTTGGGGGCTGAATTGGAAAGCTGTCTGGTTTGCAGCTATATAAAGGTAGAGAAAAGAAAACCCATTAATTAGGAGATTTAAAATGTAGGATATATATATAAGGGAAATTTCTGATAGCTGTCTAAATCTTTTTTTGTTGTAAATGATTGTAAGATTTGCAGCAATACTATTTACTAAAGGATGGAATGGAAGGGTTGATATATTTGAACTGAACTATTATTAGAGTACATAATCTGAATGGTGAATGGTAGATGAAAGTTGCAAAGGAGAGGGAAAGTGTGAAATCCTATGGATCACTAGTGAGAATGTTTCAGTCTCTAAGGATAAGAGAGCACATGGAAAAGCCAAGCCAAAGACCAGAGAATGATAGTAAAAGAACCAGGAACAAAAAATCTGCAGTATATTTATTTATTTTAAAAAATTATATGGCTGCCCATATGGCTTGCAAAGATAAGACCCAATATAAAAAACAATAACCCTGACCCCTTTGTAACAACAATCAGTCAAATGAGCCACTTAATGGGCTCCATCCCATTCTGGATTTTGCTGGCTTTGTGAAAGTGTCAAAGTGGGGGCCAATCTTATTTCTTTGGGGATGATGTTCCACAGGGAGGGAGCTACCATAGAGAATGCCTTTCTATTTGGTCCCACTAGATGTATTTCCTTAGGAGAGGGGACCCACAGCATTCCCTACTTTGGTGGATTGGGTAGATGTGACTTTGGAAAAGTCAGTCCTTCAAATAATCTGGTCCCAAGCCATATATTTGTAGTGTTAGATATTAAGCTGAATAGATGGTGAAGTTCAGACTGATATGATCGCAGTTGCTACATTTGCAGGCTTGGTTTAAATCAACTTTCCTTTTAAAAATCCAAGAGCTAGGGGGGGGGGGGGGGGTGAAAGGGAAAAGAAAATTATCAAATTAGAGTTGTGGCCCAATAAAATCTAATTTTTACAACAACTCTAAGAAATAATACAAAAGAATTAATTGGGTTTTCTCTTAAGTATATGTAAAAATCACACCCTAGGGACAAAAGTTCCTGTTGGATAAACTAAGCAAGATGATACACATTCAGATAAGCAAATGGGAGTAAGAAAACTCATTAAATAGTACTGTTTTCTGTCTGTATGTTTTAGAAGGCAAGTGTTAGTAAGATTATTATGCTATTGTACTAATTCCTGCTTTACATATTGCAAACTGACTGTTTGAAAAAAGAAGTGGGAAATTGTTGCTCACAAAACTTGTTACTTTCAACAATCACACCGTATTTCAAATGGCAAATCATTTCTAGAAATACAGAAGTCCTGAACCTTTGGCAAATGGCTATTCAACACAGCTGCTTACTCTTTATTGCAATAAAATGCCTCAATTGCAGCTGGTGTTGATGAGGCCATCTGGAAGTTCCATTGACAGCACAAATAAATAAAATGTAGTTGTTAAGAAGTTTTATTTATTCTTTTACTGTTCCCCAAAGAGATTTAACTAAACTGTGCTTTTAATTTAAAAGCATCTGGAGCTATTTATCACAAACAATTTAACAAAGCTGCTAGCTGCTATGGGAAAATACAAATTAAAATTAACTACAAATGGTTGCAGAACTCAGTGCATACAAAGTTGAGCCAAGAGAAATGGCTGTATCTTTGTAAAGCCTTTCTTCTTTTTTGATGTGTAGAGTCAGGTATAAGAACAGGGGTCTTCAAACTTGGCCCTTTTATGACTTGTGGACTTCAACTCCCAGAATTCCTCAGCCAGGCACTCCCAGGAATTCTGGGAGTTGAAGTCCACAAGTCATAAAAGGGCCAAGTTTGAAGACTCCTGTATAAGAAGAACAGACTGATCACCAAATAGAACAGCAATAAATGAGGCTTAGGGGCCACTGGATATCGGCAAAGGATCAAACTTTTCCCTCTCTTTACTGCTCTCTCTTAGTCACTGGAAAATCTACAGTAAGGCTCTCTGGCATTCCCACTAATTACGCAAACTAATTCCTCTAGGAATCTACATGTTGGTCTTAGAGCATATATGACCAGTTTGGGGTTTCTGAAAGGCTCCCCCCCCCCCAAGGCTGCAGCTTTTGTTTCCAGGGTGGATGCCAATTTCATAGTTTTTGACACATTATTGGTCACAATCTTCTCAAAGCCTTTACAAAACTGATTAGCAAAAAACTTTCAACTTAGTTTTTACTGTTTATTTTTTTTAAACAAAGCAAAAGGATGCCTAGCTAAAGCAGTAAGACCAGGAAATTAGACACCTTCTGTTTGTGCAAGAGTCATCATCAGAGCAGATGGAGAAAATGCACAGCTGTATACTCTGCAAAATTATGAAACTTTTTCAATTTCAAATCAAGTTGGATGAGTTAGACTATAGCAGTGATGGCGAACCTTTTAGAGACCGAGTGCCCAAACTGCAACCCAAAACCCACTTATTTATCACCAAGTGCCAGGTGGGCGTGGCCCACTGGGTGGGCGTGGCTGTGGTGGTCATGGCAGACTGGGTGGGTGTGGCCAAGGTGGGCGTGATCACCTCAATGTTGCTCGTGGAGAGGGACGCCTGTGGGAGCCGGGCAGGGTTGGGGGAAATCCAGGGGGTCTCTGGCAGGTGGGGCGGTGGGCAGGAGGCTCATCCTGCGGGGAGAGGCGAGGCAGGGCGGGGGTGCCATTGTCACAGGGCAAGGTGAGACAGGGGCCGAGGCGGCGGCTGCCTGACACCATCGGTCCCTGCGCACAGAGGCCAGCGAGCGCATGGGTGCTGGGATGCATCCAGCCACGTGGGACTTCGGCGAGTTAGTGGGCGGCTGGTTGAAGAGGGACGGTTGCCATCTCCGGGGCATGGTGTGCGTGCCCACAGAGAGGGCTCTGAGTGCCGCTTCTGGCACGCGTGCCATAGGTTCGCCACCACTGGACTATAGCAATGACTTTCAAACTACTGTACTACTGTAGATTACATTTGAAAAACTAAATATATTGTGCAATATATTTGAAAAAGCATACTATAAATATTAAGTAGCAAAGTGTATGAAATGTAGGTAGGGCACAAATAGTCCAACTATATGAAATAAATGACCTCTACTCTGAGAGCATTTAGAAAACTAGATTAAATGCAGCTATTCCAGCAATGTTTGGTCTTTTGGAGCTCCAGAATTTCCTTCCTCTCAATAGTTTTTTTAAGCACTTCTGACTTCCAGTTTGTAAATCATGTCTCCAAGAATCATGATGCGCTTTGCTGGTAGTTCAAGGTGGATTATTGTAATTTATAGATTGAGACTCCAAACTTTTGGTATACGCAAAGAATATTACAAAGATACAGCATTCTAAGATATTTCTGGACTTGACTACATCCACAAACCATTTCATACTCCTGAAAACTACCAGACTATTTTGAGAATGTCTGAGCAGCATGGGCTAGATGAAGAATGGAACATTACAGAATTCTGAAATATATTCTGCCTCCAAAGACAGAAATGGTTTACACATACCTATTAAGTCATTTAAGCCTGCAAGCTGAGCATCTTTTACTTTTTGCATATTACACTTGGAATATTAATATTTTTAATACTATAAATAGCAACTGGGTTGAAATAAGTGGAATAAATAAAAGCAATATTATCCAAAAATAGGTGAATTATGCATTTTGCAACCTTCAAGGTGATATGAATTAATATTGGCAGAATCCTTTAAATCAGCGGCCCCTAACCTTTTGGGCACCGGGGACTGGTTCAGTGCAGAGGTTTTTCTGTGGACTAGAGTGGGCGTGGTTTTGTGTGCTGCCTGCATTCTGCAGATCGGGCTTCACTTGATGGCGTGGCCCAGTTTCTGGCATGCTATGGACCAGTGCCAGTCCACGGACTGGAGGTTGGAGACCCCTGCTTTAAATGCCCTGGCATTTGAGAAACTGTTGAAAGAAAAGAGTTCCCAATACCAGGAACCACAAATACAAAACAATTCTAATTCTGGGGCCACTAGTTGGTGATGGCCAGCCATATAAATAGAATGAATGAAATAAATAAATAATAAATTGGCCCTTTTGTTATAATCACCATGCCATGGTTTTATTATACTTTTAAAGTACAGTGGCATACTTTATACCATTATATTCTTTTAATTTTCTTAACTGAGCGAGTTTTTAATTAAAATGTTGACGTTTCATCTCAACTACCTTAAGACTTATTTGATAATCTGATGCATCCATATGACATGCTTTTAAGTGCTGGGATTCATAAATTGTTGACATCTTTCGACAGATGCTCTCAGACTCTCTGAAAATATTGTAAAAAAAGCAAAGGTAAATATGCTGCACATGACTGAAATTGACAAGAATAGCAAGTGGATACTTGACTAGACTGCTACCTAGTATATAAATACAGACATTTATTTGGGCTATGGTACCTGTGTGATTCCCAAGTAATATATTAACAATGCATTCAAAAAGTTCAATAGGTAGGTCCTGGGTGAAATAGTGAATAGGAATATAGTTTATTCAAGTATGTAATACTACAATTTGGTATAAACATAAGCCTGGATCCTGATACTAGGTATCCATGATCTAACCTTATAGTTTGGTTTACTTAAAAATGACTTTAATCTTTCCATTATTTAACTAGAAATGTACTTCTGTAGAACTCCACACAAACTTGTTAAAAATGTTAACCATTAAATAATCTAATATATGCCTACTGATAATTCTAGTGCAGTTCAGTTTCAGTGATGTATGATTGGCTGGTGCTAGTAGCATTACCTTGAACTAACTGCTTAGACAGAATGTAGTAATTCAAGTAAACATGATTAACAATAAGCACCATTCTAGCAAATGAAGCATATCTGGTTTCTTGCGATAATACAAGATGCATTATACGGTAGGCTTCCTAAATGTTGAAAGGTTGGGTAAGAAAATATTCAGTTTGACTTTAAAATGTAAACTTTTTATTTTAAGGCCAAAAAATACATTCAAGTTTATGATTCTTAAAGTTGATATTACATTATTTATTACAACAAGCTTCAGTAAAACATTTCCAGAAATGAAGATTTAATTAGCATTTTATTTATGGGTTTCATCGCAAGCATAATTGAGAACAAGACTAAGGACATTTTAAATCACATATATTTCTACAAGTGCAATATTGACAACTTTGCTATTTCACATTTTCAATGTATCTATTTAATAATTCAAATTATATAGAAAAAGATATTCCATTCACAAAAAGTGAGCAGTTCCAACAATTTTGTTTTATAGAAAAAGTGATAGTACATTGTGCAAAATTCCAACTATAATTATAATCTTATCAATTTAATATCCTATATACTTCCATGAATCATATCTGAAGTTACCAATCCCAATACACTATACAAAGCAGGAAACTTAAGCAGGGAGCATAATAAAACAAGCCATCTTTCAGATTAACTTCCAGCTGTATAAAATAGAATTTTAAAAAAATATATTCTTGGCCATAGTATAATGGTATACTTCCTATGTAAGATATTGTCAACAAGTATGGCTATAAACCCAGCTTGCCAAAGAAATATCCAGAAAAGTATTATTTCCTCTGAACATTAAATTTATAGGTGGGAGGAAAGTCTTTTACATTGCCAGAAGTAGGGAAAATGTTGGCTTGCCAAATATGACCTTAAAATATATAAAGCCTGTCTAGAAGTAGAGTTAGTGAATTGACATTTGGAAGCTTAAGTTCATTCATTGTGACATATACCAATACATCGTGATACAAAAGAAAGAATAAGTAGTCTTAGATTCAGCTTATGAAAAAGCTGAAATACTGATTATTAAGACTAGTTTTCAGTTAAAATGCTCAACAATTGCTATAAGTATTCTACATTTCAAACCAAGGCAAAAATCAATTCTACACTTAAGAAAAAGCATTAGTTTAACATTATTTGAATTTCCAATTCTTATTTCCTTACCAATGACATATACAAAATGTAGGAAATAACAGACCCAGAAACCGTTTCACCGTGCACATATTCTTTAGCTGCCAGTGTGTATACATTACAATATTGCTACCTTTCAATATGTTTACACACTGCACTTTGAATCAGGTGAGTTTTATAAGAGCAGCAGATCAATTTTCTATTACCTTTTAATTGTATAATTTTTATGCAGGGAAGAAGCTATGTTAATCTCTCCACAGGCATTTTTTTGTTATACTAGAATAGTCTTGAAGCATCTTCAAATAGTAGCAGCCTAGATTCACTGTATTTTCAACTCCACCTCATTCCAGTAGTGTGCAAAGCAAATCCTGAACCCTACCCTAGAGAAGTCTAACTATGAAAAGAAGAATAGTGTGCACTGAAGATACATTTCAAAGAACATGGAGATTTCTATGAGCTGTTTGACGTTATTTTACCAGATATATCCTCAGTTTGAAAGGGGATCAATCTGCAAGCCAGCAATGTTTGATTTTATTTTAATTCTTAATGAAAATATGAATATTATAAAGTATTGTTCTGACATACATTAGTATTAAACTTTGGGACCTTTAAAAGTTATTTTATTCTTTGGATATCTAAAATATTATATCCAGAAATCATGATTGCCACTGCTTATAATGGTATCCCACTGAGAAGCAAATTTTGGTCCAAACTTTTAAGTAAAATGAAAGATTGAAAAATGTTTGTGATTTTCAACCAAAGCCCATAAATATTATGATTATTTACTAAAGTAAGTGTAGTTATCTGAACTTTTAAAGCTCATATTTAATCTTCATATCCATACACTTGGCAATTTGATTTATATTACAGTATTTCAAATATATAGCTTTCTTGCTATACATACACAGTATATTTTAAATACTAGGTTTAATTTTAAATAAGCTTTCTGAAGTCTACCAGTTTTATTTAGTAGCTTAGAATCCTTAATATGATAACCAATGCATATGAAAAGGAGGAATAAATAACTGTTCTTTCCTTGTTACAAAATATATTACTGATTCTTCAATTCTCAGTGAGGTTCTAATCAGTCGATAAGAAAGATGATTTTTGAAAGTATTGCTATAAGCAATTTCTAAAAAGAAATCACAACTTTACATAAATGTATACAATGAAGTTCCTGAAGTGTACCATTTGGTGGTGTTTTTTTTAAAAAAAAACCGTTAACTTTTTTTATTTCATGTTTCATTTCAAAGTGGACAAAACAAGTGATAGCAGTTACAGAAGTTAACCAAGAGTTCTTTCCACTTTACTTTTTAAGCAGATAGGTAGTTGCAGCTATATTTTGCTTGTTCCTGATTAAATCCCTTTCCTAAATAGTTACTTTGACAGTGAACTGTGTCAAAATAATGCCATTAAAATTGTTAAGAAAGCACCACATTCTTTTGAGATGTTACAGTCTCCTGAAATCCATTAAAATGCCTCATTTGAATTTACCTGAAAGGGGAAAAAAAGGATCATTAATCACATATTTTTTTGTTAAGAGGATAAATATAATACTTAAGATATCTTCTGGGGAAATAATTAACTGAAACTAAATCACCTATCAAATCCTAACAGTGCCAACCTGGGGCATGGATTATATTATCTAACTTATGGAAGCATGAAATTGCATTGTAGAAAACATATGCAATGGCAATTGTTTTACTAAGTAACAACATCACTAGAGGATTTTGAAGTGCTCCTCTAATTGCCTTTTTCCCCATTTCAGTGTAACAAGTTCTCTGCCTACTGGAATAGGAAAAGAGGAAAAAGAGTACTCATATATAAGGCAGTAACTATATAATACAAAGATAATACAAAACAGAATTACTGTGTGTTTTTAGAAGGTAGCCTTAATGTTCTTCATGCAAGGAAATCCAAAATAGGATTTCAAAGTGTACTTCACGTTATGTTTAGGCCTAATAAAAATGGAAGTTATACTTAAATATATAAAGTTAAGTGCTTGAAGTGATTTGTTTTACAGCCTGCATACCACACACACACAGTGCAACTCTATAAAGCACCATTCGCTCAAAAATGGTTTACAGCTTCATAAAACACCATTCCACGTGACTTAAATGCAAAAAATAAACCAGAATACAATAGAGCTGGAAGGGACCTTGGAGGTCTTCTAGTCCAGCCCCCTGCGCAAGCAGGAGAACCTATACAATAAAATCTCCAGTGATGGAGTGCCCATGATTTCTGGAGGCAAGCTGTTCCACTGGTTGATTGTCCTCACTGTCAGAAAGTTAATTCCAGGTTGCTTCTCTCTTTGATCAGTTTCCAACCATTGTTTCTTGTCCTTCCCTCTGGTGCTCTGGTGAACAACATGACTCCCTCCCTCTTCCTTGTGGCAGCCTCTCTATATCTATCCAGAAAATATGTCTAAATATATCTGTCCAGAGAACATATGTTTACTGAAGAACATTACACCTACTCTATATATATAGTGCTTAAATGTTTGAGGATTCTTTTGAATTTTCAATATTTCTGTAGAAATATGACATAAAAGATAACCTTTCTCCACAGAAATCCTAAAATTTGATAAAAAGAACCCAATCAAAACAAATGAATCAAATACACTGTACTTGGTCATTGATTTATTGGGGGAAATGATCCAGGTCATATTTATGCAGAAATACTGAAATTCAAAAGGATTCACAAATTTTTGAGCACCACTGTATTTACATATATGAATTGTAAAGGAGCATATGTAGCAGCAGTACTCAAGAAAAAAAATATTCTGAATTCCCCACTTTATAGTAGAAAGACTTCTTTATTCAGCCACCTCTGTGGCTCATAAAACATTTCTTTTTCTACATTCAAATTTTCTGTTCAAAATGTAATTCAATTGCAGTCTTACATTATTACAGCAAGCTATGGTCTCAGTAGAACTTTCCTAAAACCAAAAAGTCTAGTTCTGAATAAGAATTTCCAGAAAACTCCATCTTGAATATTAGGCCACCTTGAATATTATGATAAAAAAGTGTAAAATAATAATGTAGTTATATGCAGAAACTGACTCCTGCTGTTAAGTTGCTATAAAATCATTCAGGAGCTTCCAGAGAAGCAGCTTGTAAGATTCTTATTATCAGATTTGGGGGATGCAATATTTGAGGAGAGCATGACACAGCAAGCTCAAATTATTTGTAAATTGTAAATAATTAAAAGAACAAATTACCTATTGTTAAAGTTTATTAAAGAATGAAAATAAAATTCTCTTTTATATATAACAATCCATTTGTACAGAGCTGGGGGAAAAAGTTCATTACTTCTGGTAAATATCACCTGAATAAATGTTTCTTGAAATTCCTCTGCCAATAGTATCTATATTATCTGTCCATGTACAAGATTAACTTATATTTTCTGTACATGTTTTAAGCTATGATGAGATACTTCATTCTGCTAAGCATAGTTTTCAATTGTGACCGAGTCAATTAGCTATTCACATTTCTTAACAGTTGAATAGGAAAAGGAAATCTGACAAAATATTAACTATTGTTTTTTCAAATAGAAAAATTATGAAACTTATTATTTTTACATCAAAATAAGCAATGTTTTAGGATACTAATTTTGCCTTAAGTGATGAGTCTCGTGGCATCTAAAGGAAATTAATTTGACAGGGATAACAATCAATTTCAGATGTAAGATCTTACAGTAAATCTTCTAATCTAGAAAAAAATTAAAAATTTACTTATAAAGTCACAAATTCTGATATATATATTTGCAGTTATGTGGTTATAAAACCTCAAAAAAGAAATAATTAGAATGTGTACCTATCATAGCCTATAGAAAATCAAGATTTATTCAGGCACTCCTGCCCACTTTTTAAAATTGATTTGAAATAGTAGAAAAAATTAATAGCAGATTTTTAAAAAATTTCTGCATTTTCTATAGGAACTTTTAAAATAGACTATTAAATTAAAATTATTAAGAGCTAGTGTCATTAAATATTTCTTCATATACAACAATACTAAACACTTTTTTCAAACTGAAAGTATTTAAATCATCTACGTAGCAGTGATTATCTTGTGAAAACAAGACATTTCAAAATATAAACTAACCTGAGATATACTTTGCTCCGATTAACATTAACAGGCTACTCATTATAAAAAAGCCCAAAGGCAGACTACAGAAGATACTAGTTTCACCTGATGTCATCCAGAAGAGAGGTTCCAGTCAAACAAATCAAGAGAGAGATACGTGTAAATTGCACTATTTAAGAATTACATGAAGAAAATTAGAAGAGAGAGAAATTCTGCAAAATGCTACAGATAGTTCAGCATATAGTAATAATTAGAAATAGAACAAACACTGAGGCTTAGATATATTTCAGTCTTGCATCCAGTGTCAATATTTAAGATTATTTAGACAGAAACAATTTGCTACTAATAAAGTAGATAGTACAGAATTTCAAATAAAGCTGATATTAAACATTACGAATAATGCAAGAAGAACGCGCTACGGAAGCTGGAAGAATGAATTCATGTGTGTCTGATTATACACATACAAACTATCTCACACTTATCTTTGTTTTTCAAAAATATTGACTGTGTATGAAGTACCATGTAATGTGGGCACTGCATATCTCTTATCCAATCATGCATTGTGCCTGCTCCACCATACACATTATACTATCAGCAAGTGAAATATACATGTACCAACTGTCTCCAGACTTGAATTGAAAGCATAAAATTGCTATTGTTAACTATAAATGAGCAAATACAGTACTAAAACCATTTATGACAGTCATATCTAGAAATCTCTATAGATTGCAAAGCTGCAGTGTTATATCATTTACCAAGGATCAAGGTTCACTGAATTCATTGCCATTCATTTCAGAGCAGCCGTGTATAGTATTCTGCAGCAAGCAACATGATACTTTCAAATAGCAACAGGCATTTAAACTGCCCTCAGGAAACAGCACTGCATCTAATTAAAAGATTCTCAAGTTTTTACATATTAATTCTCTTCAGACTAATTGTATAGAAATTGTAAATAAGGCTTCTCTCCTTTACATCTTTCTCACCCGACTTATAGTAATGCTTGCTGAATTTAAAAAGAACTTATTTTTTCATAAACAGAACATTTTTAAGCTAAAATAAATTTTGTTTGAAATAAAAAATATATAAATGCATTTCTTGTGCTCGTCATACAGAATATGTGATATTATTCAAATTTGTTCCTGCCTGGGTTGCATTTTCAATGTTTGACTAAGCACAAGATTGTTATAGCTCTGATAAACCCAAAATTGCTAAGATAAGTATTAATTGTATTGTATTTTACTGATTATCATATAATATTTATGTAAAATTGCCAAGACAATTACTATTGGGTGCTATTAATATCGCCATTATAAAAAAGGTTTTTATTGACATTGTATCATTGTATGCAAAGGAGGAACTCCAGTAGTTTCTTGAAACCAGTGAAGCTTTAGTTTTGGCCCAGTCAATAAGTCAACTAGATAATAATTAGAACTTACGAAAATAAACATTATATATCATTGTCCTTTACTAACCTGCCCATATCTTTCCAACAACATAGAAATTACTGCTTTGTATAAGGAAAAATATTGTTATGGATTTTTTGTTCTATTGTTGGAGTTTCTAACTTACATTGCTCAACACTACTGTTAAAAAACACACACACACCCATTTTCTTTCTGCAGTTATTAGGACTTTAAAAAAATGAGTGTCTAATAATCTATTGCCATATCTGAAATCTTTGGTCTAACTGATTCATCATCCTCCTGGCTGGAGGAATTAATATCTTGTTATTTTTGATTTTTTATAAAGGGTTTCAACTGTTCCTGTTTACTGCTTAGATCTGTATTTTTTTTTCAGGCCAATCACTGTGATTGGCTTTGAGAAGACTAAGGCCAGAATAAATTAAATTCATGTGATTATATGAATTTATATACTTAATATGATTAATTCCTGTATTTACACAAGCTGTTTTTGTAACTTTAAAATTAAATTAAATCTTAAAACTTGGTGGCAGGATTTGAGTATATTGCTAGCTGTACTCAAGACTTTAGAAATTTTCATACAACTCAGTGAAAGTTGTAAATGCCAGCAGAAATGTATTCCTCAAATAATTTGAGAGTATATTTCTATACTATCTACTATACTATACTATGCTACTATCTGGTTGTGCATCTATACATAAATTATTGAAAAATAAGTGTACACATTGTTCCATATTTTCAGTTTCTAGGACACTTACTAAAACATGGTTGGATTATAACTACTACCACTATCAATACAAAAATCTATTTTTTTCTATTTGCTACAGTCTATTGTGTATGGAAAAGCAATTTGACTTTTACAAGTAATGCATGAATGATGACTCACTGTTTCCTTGAGGTTCTGATGTCTCCCACCCCATTGATTTCTTAACAGCTTTCTTCCATCTGGTATAACGATATTCACTTTCTAAAATCAAAAACAACATTTTTATCAAAAATTCAAACAATTGTTTTTATTTAACATAAAAGCATTTACTTTGTAATATATGGAAAAGTCTTCTGAAATGCATAGGAATTTTATTAACTGTCAGAAAACCTCAAAATTTAAATAAAAACAAGGAAAGTTTGCAATAGTGGCAAATAAGGAAAGTATCAACCTCCCTCCCCCAATATAATTTTCCTAAGATAGTTCACCATTCAGAGGTAGCACAACTATGCTGACAGAATAAACTATGCTAATTTTATATCAGTATGAATGGACTAGATTTGCATAAACTGAGTGAGTTTAGATAGCAGAGATTAGATCTTAAAAGCCCTTCTTACCCTCTGGATTGATCTGTGGCTCAAAACGTTCACATGTTACTGCTGTGAAGTCATCAGGATGTAAGCTCCAGACTCCCACCCCTTCTGCAGCTCCAGCTGCCATTGCTGCTCCAAGTGCTGTGGTTTCAGGCATAGATGGCTTTACTAATAAGACAGAAATCAAGGTAGCATTTTTATCTAGTCCTTGATAGAACAAAATATATGTAGACAAAATGTGAGCATTTTAAGTATTAAAACAAGTATCTTTTTTTTTCACTTTTACACCTTACTTTATTTTACTTTTCGTTCAATTGACTGAAAAATATTAGTAGCTAGTGAATTAAGGACAAATATGCTTTATACAAAGATGGATTCTTTAATGAAAAAGGAGTCTGCCGATTAATCAGCTGGAATACAGGGAACTAATAACCCAGTGGTTCTCAACCTTTTTAATGCCGCGACCCCAACCGGTCATAAGTCGAGGACTAAACCGGTCGTAAGTCGAGGACTAAACCGGTCGTAAGTCGAGGACTAAACTGGTCGTAAGTCGAGGACTACCCAACCGGTCGTAAGTCGAGGACTTTCCCTGCCTGGGAGCGCCGCGCATGCGTGGTTCCGCCCCCTGCGCCGGCCGAGTCGTAGCTGGCAAGCGGCAGAGATGGAGCAGGCCGACCACCAGCTGGCCCAGCCCAAGGGCCATGGCACCCGCCGGAAAAGGAAAAAAATGGTGGACAAAAAAAATGGACAAAAAAAATGGCGGACAGCCTTGCTTGGTGACCCCTGTGAAATGGTCGATCGACCCCAAATGGGGTCCTGACCCACAGGTTGAGAACCACTGTAATAACCAATGCAAACATATACTTTATCTTAATTGCTATCACAAAGAAACATCATCCTATATATTCACCAATCAGCCCTAGATTATTCCTTTAAACAAGTAATTAAAAAAGACAGTATTCATTGACAAAAAAAACCCTCAAACAAAAAACCTAACTATTTACATAGTCAGAGGAAATATTTTTCAAATTTCAACTGCCAAATGTGGCTAATTACATCCGCCATGTATTTTATCCATTAAATATTGCTTTTGTGTTGTATATCCATACACAAAAGGCACCAAACCAAAACTGCATTACAGTGAAATTACATCTGACATCTTGACAGGTGTTCTTGCAGGTATATCTGTGTGTTTGTATAAGAATCATTAAAAGTTTCATTTAGTGCATATCTTGTCTTTCCTCAAAAGGTCAAAGTGATGCAAAAGAGGTTTGCCTACCATTTTATTTTCATAGCCCAAACTATCTAACGGGTTGGTAAGGATATGCTGCCCATTTAATTTTGCAATTCGGTAAATACTGGAACATGGGTCTCTTAAATCATATTTCAGCTCCTTCACTAATATATGTATCCTTTCCTCCCTCCTATAACTGTATTGCTCAAATGCACTTTCTTAAATTTTTATCCTTAGGTTTTCTAGAACTCAGCAGTAAACTTCCTTACCCTTTAATCCCATTGCAGCATTTTTAAAGGAAGGTGCTAGCAGAGAATTGCCTTTCCATGACAACACTATCAGTGACAGGAAGAGCAATGTAAATCTTCCTTAAATAAACAAGACAAGATGATGTTTTCAACATTTTTCATCCCGATAGAAGAAATTATGATTTTATTATTCCTAAAAGAGGGTTCCTTTTACATGTAGTTACTAAATAACTATTTAACTGAATAACAATTACTCAGAATAAAGCAGGAAGACTAAATTGACAAAAAGAAAACAAAAATTATGAACTGCAGTTTCCTTAGATGACTTTACAAAATAAAAAGGATCTAAAAAGCCTACATTGGCAAGGCTGAAAATCTTGGTATATATGTAATTCCAGAAATATATTTTAATGTAAGTAAATTGAAATACTTTTTTCAAAAGTCATAGTGAACCTTATATATAGCAATTCAAAATAAAATGCAAGGAGACTTTTATCTTACCTACTGGAATACAAAGAATATCAGCCTGGAGTTGCATAAGTATCTTGTTGTTGGTCATTCCTCCATCAACTTGTAACTGACTAAGTGGTATCCCACAGTCTTTATTCATTGCATCCAATATCTAAAACAAACACTTCTTATTAATTTTTTCAATAAAAACTAAAATGTTTTATAGATTACATAGCAAAAAAATAGTTGAAACATTTGGCTTTATGGCATTATAAAAAAATCAGTAAGAGCAAACAAAACATAAAGTAAGAAAAAAATTTAGTTGAAAATTTTATTTTACATTTTGAACTAATATCTCAGAAGGTGAAATAAACACATTTAGACATGGCTGCCTATAGAAATAAAAACAACAGTATTATAAAAAATTTAACTCAAAAATCCTAATAATACAGTACTCATAATCTATACCTCCCGTGTTTGAAAGCAGACAGCTTCTAGTGCAGCAAAGGCAATATGGTTTTTATTTGTAAACTGAGTAAGGCCACAGATAATTCTGCAAACGAAGACAAACGATACTACAGTTAGAAATAAAAGTAGTATTAAAATACAACATACTGTCTCACTGTGATCATGCAAGTAACTGCCTGAAAGAATATATTGGCAATATCTACAGAATCTAACTGAGAATCAATAGTATGTCATTACATATACCTAAGGATGGATCTAAACCAATCACACTAATGGAATGAGATATTAAAATTTGACATACTCCCCTCCCAAGTTTGGGCATTTAATTCTTGCCACTTTTTCTGAGATAATTTGTACTGTGGCCTTGCCAAGGAAAGTGATGTTTGGGAAGAGAATGGTTAGCACCCTTAATTCAGACAAAACATTCACTCCTTAAAATTAATTTTGCCCTATTGTTTGTATGATTTTGGTATATCTACATTTAAACAATATATTGCCATCTATAATTTGGAACAAAGGTCAGCAGATGTATTCAAGAAAATAGCTGTCATAAGGAGTTTTGCCATTCCTCAAATAAATATGGACAAGGAGACATTCTCGGAAATAAAAATGCTTTTGAAGGAGGTAGTTCATGTCAGCTAGAACTACTAGGTCGGCTTCTTTTACATGTGATTTAATATAAATATCTTTTAAAGGAAAACTGGGCACAGGGCTGGGGAATATCAAATGAAGTGAATACAGATGTCAACAATGGTACTTTCCTTTGGCGTAAAGCAGAACATACACTTTCATAAGCCCTGTTTATTAGCAGAACACCAGAAAAGTACTATTTAACATTCAATCAGATAATATTTACCCTCTTGCACTGGGTTCCCAGTATGGTGCATATAATCCTGAAAATGCAGGAACAAAGTAGCAGCCGTAAGACGTGCCCACTTCAGCAGCAAGTTTCTCTAAGATCAATACAAAATAGAAAACTTATCTCTGCAGAGAAATAGTCATTTGAAAGCTAGGAATTGCAAAACAAAATATAAGTAATGTCTAGAATAAATAAGACTGTTGACTGCATTAATATATATACAACAAATATAGAGCCTGGAAGCAAAAGTACAAATTTTATATATGCTATAATCTTCAACAAGTTGGTACTATCTGGATGTGCTGAACTACAATATACCTCCCACAGATCATATATACCGTATTTTCCGGCGTATAAGACGACTTTCTAAACCCTGAAAATCTTCTCAAAAGTCGGGGGTCGTCTTATACGCCCAGTCGTCTTATACGCCCAGTCGTCTTATACGCCGGAAAATACGGGTATTCAGGCAGGCTTCCAGAGTTCGGCTGGCAGGATGCAGGTAACCCCTCCCCCCGTCCTGCCGCCTCCCACCGCACCGCGCCGCTCCGCGTCCCGCGCCTCCGTGTCTCAAGCCTCTGTGGCACAGAACTGCTGGCGTTATGCTTGGGCGGAAG